TCCATTATATCATCAGTTATATCGTTATCGTAAATTTTCAAATGTATATCGTGATAAATATTTCTGGTCATATCGCCCTGCTCTAATCACAAGCTCAAGGTTCTTCATGTCCAGTTATTTAAAACTCCATGTTTGTGTAATCAAAGTAAACATCTGTCACGCTGCCCTCCTCTGATTTTTACTGCACTACGAACTTCTGAAAGTTCATTTAAAAAGAACAAAGAAAACACAGTGAATGTGTAAAAAAATACGGCGCTGTTTGCTTAAAAGCAAACGCCGCCCACAGAGCGAGAGGGTTGGTGGCGGTTTGCACTCTCAGAGTGCTTCTTGTTTATTAGCTGTTATTTATTAGGCCGGTATGCGATTGGTTTGGCTTGTCTGTCTGGCTATTTACGTGCAGGACGTCTAAAGATTGCCAGGAAATGTTTTCAAACTGTTTTATTCACCGGAGTTTTTACTGAAACATAGCAGACATTCCTGGAATATCACATGCTTGGAAATTGTGGGAAAAATGTGAAGATTTCTGTTGAATGCACAGTCAGCCCCCTCACCACAGAGGCATTTTCTGAGTCCGTTTACTTACAGGAAACTTCATCAGAGGTTTGGAATTATTCTGGGAGTCAAATGTTCTCGATTAAGAAAAACAGGCAGACGTTCAAAGATGGAATCATCCTCATTTTAATCTGACAGCTGGAAGCACGACCACTTCTCAGACACAACGTGGTCAAATAAACTCAAAGCGGAGCTCAGCAGCAGTCAGAATACTCTTACTGATGATGGCCGCTGCCTCCTGTGTCTTCTGCTTTCTTGTAGTTCTAACTGGAAAATGTAGGAATCAACCAAGTAAACCAAACACACTGGAGGGAAAGAATCCAGGTTCTGTCACCCGGGAAAGAAAAAAAATAACCCTTGAGATTTCCAGACATTAGGCATTAAAGGGATTTGGTGTCAAAGTCTGAGGGGTCTTAAGTGACTGGTAAGACTGAAAAGCCCTGTATAAACCCACCCTCCCCTCTGCGCTGTGGTGATCTGAACATGCGAGTCGTTGTCACGCTCGCCTCTTTAAGCCTATTACACTAATGATTTCTACGAGAGAGGAGAAAAGAACAGGTAACACACCTCCACGCCTGACAGCAGGAATGTAAATGAGCAAACAAGAAAGCACCTCTGGCATCCTGAGCTGTGAGATACCCAAGGTTTTATGACAGGTTAACAAACTGAAGGAGGCTTTCTGCTCTGTGACACACTCAGCTCGAGGTTCCATCCTCAGATTATTCCCGAGAGAAGGAATGATTCCTCACGCAGAGGTAAACAGGTATTTGGAGTGAGTTATTTGGAGGAACCTCACTGGACTGGCTGTTCATTACTGACCCGTTTAATCATTAGCAAGATATCAAAAATCCTCTACTACAAACACAAAATGACAAACCATCCAGAAGCCAAAAATAATAACATTGCTAAAAAGTTATTTAAGAGCAGTCTAGGTGGTCTGATTAAACATTAATAAATGAACATGTTCAGGCTGCCAAGAGCTCAAAATACTTCACCAGCTTCCAGCTGTCTCACTACAGCAATAAAAGCATGATTACAGGGTAAAAATGAACTTTTCCCATACTTATCAAAGTATATATATATATATATATATATATATATATATAAATGCATTCACTCTAATTTACAGATAATAATTCATACAGGTGATTGGCTTTCACTGCAATTAATTAATTACTGTGCACACCTGTGCCATCACCTTCTGTTTCACCCACCTTGACTCCAGCAGCCACCCATTTCATTCACGCCTCAGTCACACCAGCTGGAGACTACCCGGCAACCACTGGTTGCTAGGGAATAACAAGTATTCCACCATCCAGCTGTGAGTGGTTGCTGTGAAACTGACTGGTCAGTGTTTTCCTGGTAACCAGCAGTCGCTAGGGAAAAATAAAGTATTCCCGACCAGTTGGCGAGTAGTTGTTGCGAGTTAGTTGGTGAGTGTTTCCAAATGAGTTGGTGTCCTCCAAGCAAACTGCAGGTGATCAAAGCAACCTGTGAGCAACCAAAGCAATCCCAAGGAGGATTTTGGTGCAGCACCCTCTTTGCGACTAATTTAAAACCAGGCACCAACCAGCAACCACTCTCCAACCAATCAGAGGTTTGGCAGTGGCAGTCTCTAGCTGTTGGCCAGCCACTGGGCAACTCTTTTATTGGAAGGTTCATACCAACTCTCCTCCATCACCTGCTACCACTGATTTTACTATGATGTCTTATCAAATAACTTAATAAACAAATAAACCTGCCAGAAAACTGGAAACAAGGTCCCTAAAATCAGGCATTACTGGGATTAGTGTGACTGGATTTTACCTGCGACAGCTCCCTAAATAAAAAAGCCTCTTCAGCAGGTTTAAATATTGCACATTAAATCCATATCAAGGTACTTCAATGCAAACATGGTGCGGAACTCTGTGTTGACTTCATGAACAAACAACGATGTTTGGGCTAAAAGGCTCACACCTCCTCGTTTACCGCATGAATGGAGCCTTTAACACATCATGTATTTATCACATGTATGTGCTTTGACTATCTGCCAGAGGTCAAAGGTCGACGGCACCTGTCCTCGCGCAGTCCTACCTGTCTCTGGGGTCGATCCAGCTCGTGCACTGGTTAATGTGGTCAATGTAGTAAACTTTCCCATCAAAGTCTCTGGCTTCCTCCCAACCGTCAGGTAGTGGCAACTCCTTCCTCGGCATGTCAGGCGAGTCTCCATGTAATGAACTCCTCTCTACTCAGAATCATCGCGAAGAGATACCATCATCATCATCACCATCACAGTCAGCCTCTACATCTGCAGTTAGTCCCCAAATTCAGAGTCTGGCTGGATTAGGCCATGGTAACAATCCATAATAATCCTCAGATTAACAATCAGACCCTGAACAGGAGGAGGAGGAGGAGGAGGAGGAAGGGGGTAAAACAAACTGTTTCATCAGGCTGCACTTGTGCAACAATTCATCCCGGTTTGAGAGCCTCAAAGTATCCGTAACGTAAACACAGCAGCTGGAGGAGTGTCCAGGACGGTCTGGAGTTTCCCAGGTCCGCGGGCAAACTTTAAGGCGGCCTGGAAGAACTTTTTCGGGATGATTATCCACGCTCCGCCGAACACGGACGGGGTCCTGCTGCCGCCGGTGGTACTGCTGTTCGGGTTTAACGGAAACACACGGGGAGCCCCGTAGAAACCTCCAGATTAACAAAGCGCAGACTTAGAAAAGGGTGGAGCAGCAGCCAAAACGTCCTCGCGTTCCCTTATAACACCCCCAAACCCGCAGAGCTGGGGCTCGGCTCCTCTCCGTTCCTACAGGCCACCATGTTTAGCCGCAGTAACCGACGCTAGCCTCCAGCCTGCGGGACAGCGAACAGTCCGCCCGCCGCTTGGAGAAAGGAGAAAAGTACCGAGAGAATTCACAGCCGTTAAAATCCGCTAAATAGCCGAAGAACTTCTCTGTTATCCCGTAAAAATCCTCCGGTGAAAGCTGGGCAGAGGGAGGCTGCAGCAGTGGCAGCGGCGGCGGTAAAGTCTTCTTCGGTCCCGATGACTTCGCTCGAACCAAGCTAACGGCAGCCACTCAACCCGACTTCCGGTTTCAAACTAAAATATTTGTTGACAAACTCCAGGACACAAAATAAGACTTCCGGGCAAAACAATTTCCGAAAAATACTTTTACTGATACCATGAGAAAAAATATTGTTTTATAGCAGCAGGAAGAAGAATAAAATATACAGGGGTCTATGAATAACACAACATAGTAAAAGGCCTATAGTGAAGGTAAAAAATTAAATTTAAATACTTTTGGTGATTGTATTAAAATATCACTAAAATAATAAAAAAAAATCTATGTTAAAAAAGAGAATGTTGCAGTGAACTATAGCTAAACCTTAGTTAAAAAAAGTTAAAACTAAAACAATCAAAACTAGGTGTGAGTTAAGTTAGTAACAAACAAGATTAAAATTCACTAAGAATAAACACTTGGAACTTACAATAAAACCTACATTAAAATAGAAATGCACACGTGCTGTGTTTTTATTCAAACAGCTGTTCCGATTTCGCAAAATCTTGCTCCTGACAAACAACTTTCATGATTAAAAATAATGATCAAAAATCCACCTGAAACTAGCAAATCTACTCTGTAAAGTGAATCAAAGTAAAGTGTTTTGAAAGCAAAAGCTTCAAAAACAAAAGTTTCAAATCTCAGTAACTCAGCTTTCATTAAATTATTTTTATTTTTATGGAAGCATTGCTGTTCTACCTTAATTTAATATTTAAAAATAGCAAATTATGCATTTATGCATATTCTATAGTTTGTGGTATAATTTTATTTATGATTTATACTTTTATTCTACTACAACAGTAAGAATCCATTCAAAATTTTGAAAAAAGTCCTTATCTTGACCTATGTCATTTTACATTTTTTTCATTATATGGATATTTATGGATTATTATTTATTATTACTATATAAATAGTAACAATAATAATTATTATTATTGGTAAATTTTAAACGTTATATTTTGTCTGTTTTGTACTTTTTAAAATTTTTTATTGTTTGGTCTAAAAATTTAAATCAAACAAATAAACAAAACAAAAATACCCAGATAAACCTCCACATTTACAACTTTTATTATTTTTATTGACAGAAAGTTTCATTGTAGGCTGTGAGTTATGGTGATACTTAATGTTTTGTTCAGTTTTGTGGCTCATACATTAATGTTTTATTCATAAAGCCTGGTTTAAATGTTATTCACTTATTTGTTAGCAGTTAAACCTCCTAACCTGCCCAAACTTTCAAGCCCACAGCGCCCCCCGGAGGACAATATTCCGCAGTGCTGAACAGGTTGGGAGAAATGATGGTTATCATCACCTGCAGGTTCTTCCATCGTGCAGATATTTCTTCAAACAAGAGTCCAACATCAAGAACAAAGAGTGAAACTACTTCATAGTGCAGATGTTACGGGCATGGCTGCATTAGGTTTATTAGGCTACTGAGGGTTTCTCTTGATGCACTGGGTGCATCTTCCTCACTCACTGTGTTTTTATACACCTCTCTATATTTATTCATCAGTTATAATTAATCTGTCTCTCTTCCACAGCATCTCTTTATCCTGTCTCCCTCCCCTCACTTCAACCAGTCGCAGCAGATGGCCCCGCCCCTCCCTGAGCCGGGTTCCGCCTGAGGTTTCTTCCTGTTAAAAGGGAGTTTTACCTTCCCACTGTCACCAAAGCTGTGCTCAGTGTTTATCTTGCGGCCTTGTTTCTGTTTTTCCTTCACAGGGATTTAAGTGAAACTGAAGGACGCAGTGATGAGCTGCATTCACTGACGTGTTTTTAAGAAATTGATTTCTGCCTCTGAATCACCACATTTCTGTCTTTGGTGCTGCGCTGCCTGCAGGCCTGAGGCTCACAGCCTGGTTTTTAACCTTGTGTATGAAGATTTCTCTGAATCTTAACGACTTTATGTACTATGAATGAATCATGCACAGTCTTCCACGG